GGGCGGTTTTTAGCTACTGAATTAGCTATTCTAATGCAATTACATGTTATAAATGTATTGCTGAAATCTTTCACATGGATAAGAACTTTCACATAAAAATAACTACAAGAAGTCTGCAGGTAATCATTTGGCAAAAACAAACCGAAAAATGTGAAAAACTGAAGAAACCAATCTAACGAAAACTAAAAGATATGAACGTAATGTTTGAGTTCTTCAAAAAAAAAGTTCATTTATAAATATTGTACTCACTGAATTTTACAAAATAGAAACGATAAATAAGATAGGCGTCTTTACAGATAAAGAACCAGAATTAAGTTCTGAAAGACGAACCATAAAAGATCAAATACATGGGTTATACCAATGAACCCACGCGGATTTCTTAGAAAAAAGCTCTCCACCCTCACAAACTCAGAGTGGGCGAGGGAGTGAGGCTGAAGACAAAACAGAAAAACAACAGTTAGAAACAGGATATGATGACAGATCTTTAGCTTTCCTCTGGCAAATATAGGTACTTAGAATCTAAACAATATTAAATATATATATTTTACTTGTCCCGTTATAGGGGCGTGAAGACGTGGCACACATGTGCACTACCACATATGCAGATGATCAGTTGCACTTGCTAATGCAGTTGCGTATCATCGAAAATGCCAGTGATGGCCTACATCGATGTATTTGGTTCACAACGAGATCTGTACCATTCGATAGTCGAATGATGGCATGGGTGAACTGATGGTTGAAGAATATATTGCATCTTATGAACAGGAGGTCAAAATCTAATAATCAAATATGACTTTAATCTTGAGCTACTGCCAGCTTCAACTTAATATCTGACAGCTGCACGAAGCCCAAGGTCGATGTAACTGTTTGGCTCTGAACAACTGCCAGCTTTAACTTAACATCTGACTGCTGCACGATGCAAAAGATAGGAATAACACCTGGGCCCTGAGCTACTGTTTGCTGAGCAGAATACTAAAATATTACCTTGAATTACTGACAACTTCGAAAGTATATTAAAATGTAAATACACATAAAAGGTGAAAAATAAACATTTCTATGATACCAATGCATGACAAGCAACTAGAACTTTATAAGTTTATTTAACTGTGCCAAATACAAACTTCCAACATAAAAGTATTAGCTCATAGGGCATGGAACCTTAGCACTCTACTTTGCCAAGAAAATGATGATTATAAAATATGTTATTCTTTAGAAATATATAGACACCTAGATGACACTTTTGCTTTTAAACATTTTGCTACTCAGCTTAATCAATGATTCCAAGGTTTTATTAACCCTAAATACACTGATGCCGTGTTAAACGGTAACAATTTCCCGTTTTTTGTCGTCGTTTTGTTTCAGAACTTAGGAATACAAGTAAGTACAGAAGTGAAAAATATTGTTATAAGTTATGCAATAGCTTCTACCAGAAGAGTTGCTAAAATATTCATTAAAATTACAATTGATAATAATTAGTATTAAATATAAGTATCAACAAACCACAAAAAGCCTCTATGACTATTCTGCTTTAGATCATCAGTTGGATATCTTCTCCGTTAGCAGTGTTTTCGGCTTTTATCCTCAGGAAAACCACACTTCATTGCTAAAATAAATCATCTCTCAATAGTGTTGGGTAACGAAGATGCGGAGTTTACGGGGTTGATCGGACAATGTTCCTCTTGCAAAAAGTAGAAGTGTTCATGTTTGCATACCAAGATACGTTAAATAAAAAGTGCTTATGAATATTAGATCATGACTGATCTAAAACAGAGATAAAAATATTGACTAGTCTATATTTCCTTATGTGCTGGTGAAACTGAAATTGCTATTGCATCTGTTACTACTGCTGCTACTTCTACTGTTTCTGCTACTAATATTGCTATATCATCCTTCACAACACCCCAGACTAGCTTCTACAACTATTTTGGCGAGTATTTGTCTGTGATTCCGAGAAGAAACCATCACGACAAAGACAATGATGACTGGACATGCCACATTACTACTTTCGCACACATTGGTGGTATATGTATTGTTGTGAAATAGAATTATGCCTCTCATAAATATCATAACATTTTGTATATTACTAAGAATTTCTTATAAGATGATGTTTTCTGTCAATACAACACACGAAAAATGCGGAGAAAACGGCTTTACAGAACTACAGAACCGTATTTTGTATTGCGCAACATGTGCGGCTACTACTGTGTTTTTGTGGGAGTTTGGATGGAAATGTGTGTTTTACTCCCATATAGCCCGAAAACTTATGTGAAATTGGACACATTGATGAGCAATTTAGATTCCAAATATCGCACGAAGTTCAGATATGTATTAATAATTTAAATATAGAATGTTAAAATCAAAACATTTAACATCAGTTTAAAAACAAATCATTATTTTTTGCAAAAAAATAAATAAATAAATAAACATCGAGGCCTAATAAAGTTATACAGTTGAGCCGAAACATTAATGCCAAGTCTAAATAAATATTTCTTTAAAATTGACATATTTACCAGCAAATATTTGTCATCAGTGAAATCTAGCTTTATAATAAAATAAATTTTCTCTACACTATAGCTTGCTGCAGTAAAATAACATGGCATTATTTTCCTTAGGGTTATTTTTCAGACTCTTTAGAAGTAAGTTTATTTTATAAATTTATTTAGTCGAAGTATTAGAAACAAAATAAGGGTGCTATAGTAAACAGCCACTCCCTGAAAACGATCTTTTTATCTTTATGAGCAAAATAATTAATCGAATTAGAAGATAATAGAACAAAGAAATCAACCATTAACCATTTTCATTACTACTCACTCTCCGATTTCTTTCCCATTCCAGCAGTTGGCTTCTCCTTCTACTGAGAAAGTTTCATTGCTACATAAACTGTCTGCTAGTTTGGTATAAAACCATTTGTTTTCCGTCAGTGTCTTCACAAAGTTCTGAAGTTGAGAATGCCATGTGGAAACCACTGTTCTCGAGGTCACTATGCTTCCGTTTGTTTCTTGTTCAGAGTCCGTAACTTCTGACGATGATCTTGTCGATCGTTTTGGATGTCCGCACAGGTTTTTAACCTTAACACAGACAACATAATAGTTAAATTAGTTGATAGGTAGCTGGTAAAATAGTTGAAAATCAGCAACGAACACACATTTTAAACTCTAAATGTATAATCAGTTAACAACATTAAGCACTAATATATTTTCTATCGTAAATAATGGGTAAAAAAGTTTAAAAGCTTTAAGAAAAGAAGCATTTTTTCATATAGGTTTCACCACTGCCATCCCTCATTAAATAAGGTTTTATTTTATTACGCAAGCATTGAGTTTGCAGTAATACTCTTCAAAAGATTTGTTTTTCTCAAGTAAACAAGTGAGTACAAAGGAATTAGGGTTAACTGTGCATTAAAATTGAAGCTTTGATATATGAATGACCTCGAACTATTTGCGAAAAAAGAACCAAAATTATAACTGTTTGGAAGTTGTGATAAACTAAGATATTTACATAAAACCAATAACATTTCGCCAAGTTATTACGCTTCCTACATAAACATCTTACTAGCAAACCACGCATTCCAGTTTTTAATATTTCCAATTTGCTCCATCAGGAAAATATGACCATATGCAGTTGTACTAGTAAATCCGGAGCAGGGCTTACTACACTCTTAAACATAAGAGAAGCTTCTTTCTACCTCTTCCTAATAGCTCTAAGTCATAAGCAATTTCTGACGGATTGCACTACCGAATGATTTGAATTTTGTGTAAACCAAAAAATAGACACTAAAGGTGTCATCCGTTGCGATACGACTCGCATCTGTGGTGTCACTCCACCGCATTAGCACTACGTTGTTAATATAAGGTTCAATTAACTCCTCCGCATAGATACATAGAGATGCTGAGAGACAGAGTAACAGCACAGTAGACGGACAGATTAAAACAAAATGCGATAAATTTGATCCATGCACATAATATTATGCTTAACCTCCCGAGTAGACGGTGGGTGATTACAACAGCAACACACTAGTAATATGCTAATACACATTTTGTTGTTTCGTATAATATAACTTGTTTACATCAACATCTACGCAAGTTCGAGGACTCAAGTGAGGATTTTTTGCGTTAAACAATCTGTTTATTACATTTAAATGCCAACTCAACTATAAGCTTGTCTCTGAATACACACAACGTATATGTTTTTACAAGATATTTTATACAATGATACACACAACGTATATGTTTTTACAAGATATTTTATACAATGATGCAATGCAGTTCACAGAATGTCCAGAAACTCGTGACATCGTCATATCTATTTAAACAACATTAATTTCTGCATATAGTTAAATAATACATACGTAACTCTCAGCTTAATAATTAGTATTTCATTAAAACAACATAGGTTTCTTTGTTACGTAGTCCATTCAACGTCTGTAAACAGATTTACTTATGAAATTACATGTGTAATGTCCAAGATAAATTCGTGGGAAATTACAAATTGCTTTGGTAATAGTGTCCATATTCAACCAGTTATGAAAAGTGTTTCTATGTTTTAGCACATAGATTACAATAGTGTCAATATCCAATCATAAAGATTTCCAAGACCTCGTTCAATTAAGCTGGAAGCTTGCGAGCTCTCGTAAACTTCAAATCCTTGTGTATTATGTTGTTAATGTACCAGAAGATATGCACAGCTCCATCGCAATAGTTTTTGAGTCAGGGTATTCTCAAAAAAACACTATTTTAACACCACATCGCAAGATGAAAGATCGTTGGAAGTATTCGTTGAATAAGTATTATACTTTATGAACTAAATCCAAAAATATAGATCAGAAACATAAGTCTATATTAAAACACTTCGAAACAAACTACTGTTTGGAAGAACTTAGGTTTAAAACGAATAAGTACTATTCAAATATTCAATGATTGATTGTGGTATTTCAAGATACCATGAGCCGTAGGAAAGTCATTTTACGACAACTTCAAGTAGTAATTGAACTTATGTGGTCCGATCTGACGAAACTTGCATTCTCAGTATTGTAATTTTCTCTGCGAGTATTCGTTATTGTTTGAGAGATAACGTACATGTTCTCCAGCAGCCGGGAACGTATACAATTTACTACGCAGATCCAACGACAAAACAACACAAAGTTAATTTAACCTTTCATATTTTCACTATTTGAACTCACTGATTAACATTTTCTTTTCGTACAAAACTCCTCCTTTGGTATGATTACGTTATGAAATTTTCATACGTGAAAATATAAAAACGTATTATGTTAATCTTAGGAAGTGCTTTAAATTGCAACGCAAACTAAATATAACAAAGTTTAACTCAAAACTAAGCTTTTCAATATATATATATATATATTTTCTAGTTATACCGCAAACAAGGTGAAAGAAGAGCAATTATCACGTGAGAAGTCAACAAAAAAGCAATAACTCTCTAGCAGGAACGGCTGATGTTATCTTGGTTATGCCCGTGGGAGAGTAAATATGGTTCAAGGATAATATACGGTGGAAAACAATGTTTATGTCTTTATGATCATGAAGGTAGGCCTGATATGTCATAATTATCTATTTATCCATAATAATCGATATATCATTATGTCTTACAGATACGCCAAATAAATGTTTTTACGAGGATACCCCCTGTCGTTTGCTACTTTCTGAATTTGTTTAAAGAAATAAGAACGAAAGAACAAGATATGAACTCGTGTATCTCTCTGGTAATCGGGCAGGCACTCTTAACCGAATGAGGTATATTCGATGAAACTAGGGCTGATGGAATTTGGTCTAATGACAACTGGATTAATGAAAATCGAGACTTGATCATCTGACAGCTAGATTAATGACAATCGAAACTTGATCACCTGAGAGCTGGATTAATGACAATCGAAACTTGATCACCTGAGAGCTGGATTAATGACAATCGAAACTTGATTACCTGAGAGCTGGATTAATGACAATCGAAACTTGATCACCTGAGAGCTGGATTAATGACAATCGAGACTTGATCACCTGACAGATGAATTAATGACAATCGAGACTTGATCATTTGACAGCTGGATTAATGACAATCGAGACTTGATCATCTGACAGGTGAATTAATGACAATCGAGACTTGATCATCTGACAGGTGAATTAATGACAATCGAGACTTGATCATCTAACAGGTGAATTAATGACAATCGAGACTTGATCATCTGACAGGTGAATTAATGACAATCGAGACTTGATCATCGACTTGATATAGTTACCTACTTGGCTTGCAGGATCTTGATTTGTTCTCAATGAAAATAAAATAAAAACAAACCGAAAAGGATTTGAAATTATCTTAAACTCATAGTTTGCTTGATAAAGAACCAAATATTTTTTATTATATTTTAAATTGAATTATTTTTAAATTTTCATTAATCTTTGGCTGTATCGTTTGTAACTTATAATTGCATAAAATCATTTAGAAGATGTTAAAGGCAATACAACTGTTAACAAAATGTGCCTGGGTGCAACGGAATGTGTAAAACATGTTTTTGTTGGTATGTGTGATTTATGAAGCCAAATGCATTTTAAAAAAGTCGAAGGAAAATTGTAAACATGGCAGTGAGATATGTTTCTGTCGTTCTGGTTTCCAAGTTATCATGCTAACAGAGCAGGTTGATGAATAAGCTAATACTGTAACAAAGGGTTGTACAAACTATATATATATATATATATTACTTTTAGATTTTGGTCGCTAGGGGATCGTTTTCGTTAAGTAAAAAAAAAATTGATTGTAACAATTTTTCTTTAAAAACACAACAGAATTAAACCATTGAACGATGACCTATAAGTCTGACTGAATGTACTGAGCAATGTATGAGTAATTTAGCACACATCATTAACTCAGGCGCCCTATAAGTCTGACTAAAAGTACTGAGCAGTGTACAAGTAATTTAGCACACATCATTAACTCAGGCGCTTGTTATCAAATACCTCAAAGTTTTCGACTGAGGTACATGAACTATTGTATAAAAAAATATATGATAAAAAGTTGACATAATAGGAGACATTTTAGAAACCTTGCTGAACTTATAATAGTACTTTATTCCTCGACAAAAAGAGAATTTTGATAAATTTTTCCGCGTCAGCAGTTATAAACTCTGGTATCTTTACATGTACATTTATGGCTAAAAACATTCTTTTTCACGCACGTACATACGCACACATATGAGAGAACAGCAATGCATATGAAACAATTCGTCATTCAAGCGTATAAACATATCAGTTCTTCTTCTTTGTGGATCAGTTAAAACTAGTGTTGAAGGTTAATGTGTTTATCAATGTATGTCTGGAAATACTTTAATGCGTGTATTGTTATTTGTAGGAGTGGTGTTTTTAAATAAAACAGCTGATGTATGTAGAATAATAAATTCAGGTCAAGTGTTAAAGCGCCTAATCACCACTTTTAACATGCCAACTTACAAAAAAAGAATAAATGTTGACTGTGATGCGACATAATCCTTTCTATGGAGATGGTAAGCCATATGTTGACTGAATGAAGTGCGTATTTAGAAAACGAGTTTCTTTCCAGGAAAAGGGGGCACAAAGAAATTTCATAACTTGAATATTTTTACTTACTGCAGGTGAATGGCTAGATAACTTGTCAATTGACTGACACTTAAATCTTAAAAATAAGGTTTAGTGTACAAAAATATGGTCACGAAAAAGCTCATCTTACAGAGAGCCAAATAATGTCACTTCATGAAAATATACATAGTTGACAAAATGTATATTTGAAATCTCCCATGAATATTAAGTTTTCTCGTTAGGAAAATTTAGTCCTTGACAGCAACAACTTTTACTCAGTGACAAGTTTCAAAAAAGAAAAATTATACCTTTTTAGATTGTATTATCATTATATAATAGATATTAGATTATTTGAAGCAAATTTAGCTCATAAACAGCTGAATTATTTTATTATGCATTTTAAGATTTAAATATTTTAAAATTTGTTTTGTGCTCACTTTATTTATCTTAAACAGTGTTTATAGTTTCAGGAGACTTAAGGCTTTTTGAATGACGTCACTAATATTCAA